GCAAATTCAATACACTTCAGTTGTAGAAGTGATAGTATGTACTTCCATACAACCAATCACAAATGAGCATATTCAATACACTTCAGTTGTATAAGAGACACTATGTATCTGCATACAACCAATCAAATACGAACCCACATCAGTTGTATATTACTTACTATCGGTCCGAATTCGGTGCAGATTCGGAGGGCTCTCTCGTCCGGAATGGCCCACGCATACGTCGCGGCTAACTGCACACAAAAAGAAAATCAGGACGAACAGCCAAGAAAATTAGGACAAGATATTCCTGATTTCGCAGCCAATGCAAAGATCAAAATATTTGAAGCCAATTTTGATCAGATCCGTGCCCCATCCACAGTGGGACTTGTCATATGGGCTGTAACTGTGACTGGCGGAAGAGTACGCCTCAGTATGAAGAGCCATAACTATAAAGCGGATAAGACCTTACACACACCTCCATTTCGTAGTACACTCTTATTTCTTCACCTAACCTATATTTATATAGCGGATAAGACCTTACACACATCTCCATTAAGTACTCTTATCTCTACCTTGGCTATATATATATAGCGGATAAGACCATACGCACACCTCCAATACATAGTACACTCTTATATCTACTTTAGCTATATTTATATAGCGGATATGACCTTATATGACATTACGCACACCATTACACAGTACACACATATCACTATTCTGTGCGTAACATAGGCAATAGATCATCTCACGGCGCACTGTTTGGGCTACCCTTTGCAATGGCAGTGTGTGTTTTGTGTTCACCTTGCCAAATGAGCCAATGGCGTGTGTCGTTTGAGAGCGATAGATGCTCATACATGAGAGACTTTTGGGTGTTTGCATGCATGGGTGTGTTGGTATGTGTTGTATAATATAATATATATATGCACACATTCACTGCCACATTCACTATATATGTACATATTCACTGCCTGTGGAAACCGTCCGTTAGTGTGAGCTATAGATAGACATGTATGAAAGCTGTTCTATATGAATACATTCATTCATACAACATACACACACACACATGCATATATACATAGCCAAAGACATACATATATCCAAACATAGATACTTCATACTTTCATACATACGTAAATACAAAAGACACATACATACATACATACACATACATACCTACCTAAATACATACACAGTTGTTTGTTTATCACTTGATACTACACAGGCACATAGATATCTATGTTAATCACGTTTGGTACTCACCTCCTCTGGCTCCATTTCTAGCAGCTCAGCGCGTCTTAACCCATCATAGCTTGGATCTGTGGCAAAATATAGCGAATTATTTCGCATTGGATCCCAGATGATATAAAGAAGGAGATAGAAACTCAGGTCACACGCCTCGACGCTAAAGCATTTGTGAGTGGGGCCTCACTCTAGCTCTAGCCTAGAGGTAGGGTGCCCGTGAGAGAAGGAGCGTCCTTGTATACTACAATCTACATATACTACATATACTACATATACTACATATACGACATTTACTACGTATATTATATACATTACATATTCTAGGTAATCTACATAAACTACAATCTAGCACATCTATGTGTAGCGTGGGCTATCCAGTATATCGCAAGTGCAGGGCAGCAGACGCATGGAGTATCGGTTTATTGTAGGACTTGTTTGCGTTACGGTTGATATGTATATTTATGTATTGACACACACACACACACACACACACATATATACATACATACATACATACATACATACATACGTACATACATACATACATACATACATATATATATATATATATATATATATATATATAGATAGATATAGATATAGATATAGATATATATATAGATATAGATATATATATTATCGAGGTCGCACAAAATAACCAGCGATAGCTCATTCTAAAATACTCACACCTAATATACCCATTCATCATCTCCCTCTATGACATTACACACAGGTGAGTTAGGTCTCATACCCATCATCCGGTCAATGTCTGCAGGCATATCCTTCTGGGTGGACCGGTACACATCCAGGAACGGATTCTCACTGCCCTCCAGAGACTTAAAGGTTAGAGAGCTCTCTGACGCGACGGGTTTAGTCTTCTTCGTCTTCTTACTGTGGCCTGTGGCAGATGGACGCGTATGTGTACAAAACAAGGCAGGAATTACTAAGCCACCGGCATATGACTGAGAAAATACGCTGGATATACCAAGATAAATATAAGTGAGATGCGTGTGTATATACAATACGAATAAAGTATGCCATTTATTATACAAACACACACACACACACATATATATATATATGTATACTAACCTATAAAAACATTTATATATATAAATAAATAAATAAATAAATAAATATTTATAAATATATATATATATATATATATATAGATATATATATACATAATAA